CCCCCCCCCCCCCCCCGACGACGTGTACACCACCCAGCGATTTTGACTACTCGAAATCATCGTCGCACGGGCAAGACGGCGGTAGCGCTCGCGGTTCTTCTACTGCCGCCGCTGGGACGGGACGACCACGGCAGGACGAGTCGTCTCTCTTTACACCCCAGGAGCTGGCACGCATAAAGAAGCAGTTCGAGAAGTCACTCGAAGACAGCGACGAGGAAGAATGAACAAAGGAAAATATACGCTTCATATTATTTGTACATGTATACGTGCATTTCTAATTCTATTCATTGCTTTGACGAGGCAGTTCTCCACAGGCTAGAAGAGACTTGCGATGGGACGAGGGTAAAGGGAAGCAGTAGCTGCTGCGGAATAGAGAGGAGGTTCGGGTTCGTCCGAGGAACGAGCGGGGGCTAGGGGCATGAGGACCAAGTGGGACATGGTGCATGTAATTTTTTTTTTTTGTCTTGTTCTTTTACCCACAGCATGTCTCACAAGAGATAGAGAGACACGCACACGGACGTATCATGCGGTTTGGGGGGGGGCGGCGGATGGATATAGAGAGTGGGGGAGGCGGGAGCATTGTGGTTTTGGTTATGTGACGATGATTTAGATGGGTGTTTTTAGAGTGCCGCAAGGGCGTGTTTCAGGTGTCTACATGTAGAAGAGAACGGCGAATAATATAGGTCTCGCATCGGGAAACATGCGACAAGTTTGGCCGACAATCGGCTCTGGGAGGCATGCACGAAGCCTTGTGTGACCGATGGGTAGAGATTATTGCCCAGCTCCGTGTACGTTTGTGTTTTTGCAGGGCACCTCATTTTGTTGCGAGGATGCACAGCGAGAGCGGCCCGCAACCGAGACTTGCACGCACGAAAGCGGAGCAGGCATTAGGTGTGCACCACTACGTGTGCGCCGTGTTCACGATGTACAATCAATCTTGGGTCTCTCGGCGTTGGTGCGCCCCGCGCATGAATGTGCACTGCCACCGCCGAGCAAAAGCTCTTACTTATGCTCGAGGCTGGTGTGCGTATCCTTGCTCGGTGGGCTGCTTGTGCCGATGCGGTAGTCGCTTCGCTTTCAAAGTTTGTCTGGGATGTCGGGCATGGCAAGGCGCGAGCAATAGTTCTCCTTGAATCCGATGTTGTGGGCCTCTGTCTATTTATTGGCTGCCAAGGTGATCAAGGTGGCGCTACCCTAGTTGGGCTTAGGTGACATGACGACGTGAACAGATGCGCTTTGTTTGTAAAGCTTTCGAACAAGTCCTCTCGTCTGAGATGAATACCGGGGAGTTGCTTTCGTCACACGCTCGCCGTACTTTGTACTACGTAGGTGTTATTTTTTTTCTTGTAGCCGAACAAAGCCTCCGGCGAGGTATACTTATTTCTCTTGTTTACTCGTCGTGAAGGCGTGAGTGTTGACTTTTAATCGGCGGTGTCGATGTTTGGTGGTGTATATATGTGCTGAACTTCGATGCGATTTTCATCAATTTTGTTCTTCCCAAGCGATTTTGGAGGCGGATCCCTAGGTAGGGTAGATGCCATACGCCGCTAGACTACACTTGAAAGAGAGGGCGAGAGCTGGAAAATAAACAACGGTAGACAATTGTTGCGTGAGGGTTACCCGTTTCTGTAAGCCTTGTGGTTAATCACACCCCATGGTCTGAATGACACTCGTTTGTGCTGATTTCTTTTCACAAGCGGGACGCGTCCAATGAAAACCGGAGAGTTTTTTCTATGTCCGGGCCTGGTCAGCTATGGTTAGCTATGCGTAATGTTCGAGCCAGATACATGGCGGTATGTTCAGACATGATTCGAACGCAGTTCGTCGCGTTGAAGGTGGTGGTCGGTAGTACTATCTTGGTGCTGTCTGACAAGATCCAGGTAGCTACGAAACAAGCGGAACACGGAAAGCTTTCAGCGCTGGGGGTGACTGCGCTGCTGCTACGCTGCTAGCCGATGCTGCCGCTGCGCTTCGGGGATTGTCTCCCTCTGCAAGAAGGGGCAGTCAGACGCGGGACGCTCTAAAACCCAGCATTACCCCGTCTCGGTTTCACACCGCCCCCGACATTACGAGCAGAATGCCTTCGTGCTCGGGGTAGACAGGCAGTATTCAGTGTTCAGCCATGCAGACTGGCGAGCCTTTAACCCGAAGTCGCGCGCGGTGGGAGCTGCAATGCGGCGGCGACCGACCACTTTTTTCTCTGCTGCTAAGGGTACATAGATAGGTCGCGACGAAGGAGGCAGATTCGGACGGCCATCCGAAGTAAATGGGGCTTGTAAGGATGATATATTTTCCTTCGTTTGCTCCGACCCTGTTCCGTTTCTTTCGGAGAATGAATGCGTATACCTATTGATGGCACACCATTCATTCACCTTCACTTTCACACGAGAGCAGGACGTTTTACGCCTGCCCTACACTTTGGTTTTATCCTAGGTATACGGTGTATAGAGGGGAGAGAAGGGCTCAGCAACAACATCCATTCACTCTTCGGTACGAAGCACCCATCATCGGGCGCATACGCCCCCCGAAACAAAACATGTACTACCGTATGTACAAAGAACCCGTAGCACGGTTTGTACGCTAGACAAGAGCGTCACGGTACTCGCAGAGACCGTTAACAGAATTTTCAACGCGTTAGGGCAGATGGGGGCAGACCGGTACCGTATGATGGCCACACCAAGGTAGCACCATCACCAAAAGCCTACGTACAAGACGAGCTAGTTTTCTTGTGAAAATGTACGAGCGATGCTCTATTTTCCTTTTTGCACATATGTCGTCCGATCTTCATCGTCCTCTCTAACCTCTAGGGAGGACAAGCGAATGAACGAAGTGTGGCCAGACTCTGTCTCACAGACAAGGTTTCCACGAAACGATACACAAGGCCAAACTCAATCACGATCATCGGCAGGCTTGCAACCTTGAAAGTGGGTCATCTACTCTGCCGGTAGAATGATCGGTTGGTCGATCCTCTTTACATCACTATTTCAATCCCCTCTGAGCATAGTCTACCTCACTATGCATATATGCCTTGAAAACGTCGCGAAGCACTCCACGGCACGTGAGGCACCGGACACAGCAATGATCGATCACAGAATGCCACCTAGGCTTGAACCAGGTTTCGTTTTGCTCTAACTTCACCATCATTCATAGGAAGAATATGTGTCCGTGCTTGTTCCGCTTAAAGTGGCTCCCATATCGAAAGTGGGCTGATGCGGTGTATTTTCGGCGGACGCAGATGCGCAGCTTCAAGTATGAACAACGACATCAACGGCGTGTTCTTGAACAATGTTGGGCTCAACTCGTACAAGCAAATCGAGTGTACATGAGCAGATAGCATTCAGTCCACACAACTTAGTTACATCACAACTTTAGGTACATGACAAGAACCACACTTGATTACGGCCAATCGCGTCAGCTACCGCATTGCCATCATGACAGCATAGATAGCATGAACGCTGCGCGACAGTACAGTTCGTACACCGTGTTTCATCCATGCTGAGACACGCACTTCTTGATACCCCTCCCCCCTCTCCACAACTTCCCTCCTTTCCCCGCTTGCAATAGAGATAGAGGTATCGAGGCACTGTAACACCAACCAGTGTTTGTCACAACAACCAAGAACACCCCCGATCCCCGTGCAAGCACTAACGACAACGAAAACAACGATTGAAAAGTCGACACGATAGGCTTCTGCCGTCCCTCTGTCAGGCCCCGATGAGTGACGGTGATATTTCTAAAGCGGACTTCTTCCCGATAACCCTACTCTTAGTCGTCCACACCTTTAACAAAAGAAAGACTCGGTGATTTCCTCTTCTCCTGTCCTACGCTCTGCCATGCGCCTTCTCCAAGCGCGTATCCCAAACTGTTCGTGGAGGTGGTGGTGGTGATACTGTCGGCTCAGAAATAGGACTGGAGGGTCCCAGTGCGGCGGACGTCGCAGGTGGCGCAGTGGAAGGACCCTCCGAACGGCAAGAAGTGGCGGAAGGGCACCTGTGGTATTATCGTGTTGGATAAGGGTCGCTTCGAGTTGTCAGTACGACGTGATCTGAGAGAAGGTCGATCGGCGACACGAGTTCCCTACCCAAGCGACGGTCGATGGTCCGCGAGTGGGGCTTGAACGACTGTGGAGGTTCGAAGGGAAACTTAGATTCAAAAACAATGAATGTTGCCTTTCGGCGGGTGGTTGTTAATGGGAAATATATATGAATACGCCCACTTGCGGCAAAGGCCTGAAAATGTCGTCTGCATTTAAGGCAAAGTGCCCATGGCATAAACTAGGGGTGGATACATATCAACGTCACTTCACCACCAGACACGTGTGTATGTTGTGCGCCACGATGTAACATGTTGTGATGATACTAAGACCCTAGCATACACGGTTTTCGTCCATGCACTCGTGTACATGTACACACATGCCGTTCAAAGTGGCAACTCGCCTCCTGGAAGATAGCGCATGGTACCAGAAAATCACGTAACAACCGAACTCATTCAACGAGCGCATTTAAACATCGGTGTGCTGCCGCGAATCGATCTCACGACAGGAACCAACACGAGCCGATTCCAAAGCGACACACACATTGTACCGGCTACCACTGACGTCTTGTCATCGGGCAGCCGGCCTTACGCGGTCGATGCCAATAAGAAAGACACACATACACACTGACTGATTTTTTATCATTGGTCAGCCGGTTAGCGCGGTCGACGCCAAAAGCGGTAGACACACACACAAACCTTGATGACGTCGAAACCCCAGTCCTTGAACTTTCGGATGGTCGGCTCCTCCGACGCTTCGCACACGACCCTCTTTTCATCCAGCAGGAGAACGTTGCAGCTCGCCGTCCACGGGCTGGTGAAGTACAGCGGGTGGGACTCGGGGAGGACGGGCGACTCTGCCACAAAGATGTCCCAGCCCTTGAACATGTCCGGCAGCGCGTACTCCTGGTGCGAACAAAACAGCAGTGTATTGGTTGGTGGCACGGTGGGCGGAGGTCGAAATCGGGCCGAAATGGGGTGGGGGGTGGGCGGTTAACCTGCTTCGAGATGATTGTCCCCAGGCGAATTGTTTTATTCTTTTTTGACGCGTGTGTATCGCACCGGAGGGTACGGAAACACGCATGTACGGGATGCTGGTTCTTGAACAGAAGCAGTAGTGGGAGCGGCTTGTTGGTCGATGGAGGGGCAGGGACGAGACAAGATATTGACTCAATAATGCTTGCTCTAGCCATTGGACCGTCGATTGGCCACGCATCCGTTTCACTCAAAAGACCGAACCGTGGAGAAGGGTGGGCATCAGCACAGGTCAAATCGGAGGGCGGGTGCCTATTGCCAACAACTCCGACAGGTAGCACCGCTTCCGCGCACCTTCATCTCGCCCTGGTACGTGAAGAATGACTTGTGGTTTCCGGTGATGCAGGGCCGCTTCGGGTTGACGAGAACCTTTCCCGGCCCCAACGGTATGAACGTTCCGTCGATGTGCATGGCGTTCTTGTCCTGCGTGCCATGATGGGTTTGATGAGGAGAGATCATCAGGGTGCTTGCTTCATCTAGTGCCTGTGTGGAGTGATTTTTGTTGTCAGCGCTGGTCCCGCGCATGCGAACCGGCTGACAAATACAACCCTCGCACGCGTTGGTGAGCGTACAATATGCTACCAAACTCATCCACATTCTGCGTTGTAGGCGTTCAAGGCGGGGCGATTGCCGACCTCAAAACCATGTTCTGCAAACTTTCCCTGAGCACAGGGACTTCCAAAACCCTCTTAGGATGAGAGAGAGCATCAAAGCAGATGGAGAATCGCAACCGGCGTCAAGTCTGAAAACAGATATATATATATATATAGTGTTTCAACGACGTCAACTAGGTCTCCCTTGTTGGCAAACGAACCCTCACTTTTTTCAGAGAGCAAGGTAGGAGGGTAGGACATGGCGGTGTGGCCAACACGTGTGAGGTCAGGGTTAGTTTTTGATCCGGCGGCTCTTACCCGAACACGACACATGCATCCGTCGTTTTTTACTCTTACCTCGAAGTCAAGCACGTGGATTTGGTACTCGTCCCCGAGGTGACGCCTCATCCACTCGATGCCAAAATCGTTCGTGACTTGACTCCTAGTGCCGGGGGAGGGGGTGGGCGGGGCTCGAATAAAATTCACGAAAAAGGCACGATTTCGACTTCTTAGACACCTTGATCACCTGATGTGCCAAATCCTTTTCCCTTTGTAAGATGTTCACGTCCGTGTCGGGTGTCAGCAATGAAGCACACCTTCCCGGGTACCACTGTCAGTCAAGCGGTCGGGCCGCGTGGATTGATGTGTGCACGCATGCTCTCCCGAAAGCCACCGCTGCAAGAGTCTGTCTCCCTCATACCTCTGGACGAAAATGTCGCGTCCCATTCTGGTGAACTCCGCCGCATCGAACACCGGTTCGTACTCTGTCGTAACGAACCTTCCCGGGCCCTCCTGGAGAAATGCGGGCGTGTTTTCGGGGATCCGGGGTACGCGAGGAGGGGGGGGATGGTTTTGAGCTGCTGACATAGTGCTCACAGAAATCGGCGTGATGGGGTCGAGCTCTCGTGCATTGTCGGGTGTCACCATGTCAAATGTGCACGGAGAGAGGCGTTGGAAGTGTTGTGAGCTTCGGCGAGACAGGCAAAAGCGAGCGGTGAGCTGAACGGTGCTTCAGCATATTTTTTTGGGCAGTGAGCACTCCTGCGGTACACGTCTTGCGCGTTCGATGCTCAAACACACCACGGTGTACTTGTGATCACATTCAACGCCGTGTAGCCAGTAGGCTATTTGGGTCAACATAGACGCGACCGTATTTATGTTGATATTGTTATTGCTGCAAGTCCATACACAACCATTTTCACGCTTTCAGCCAGCACGTCCAACGGGGGCTCCGCATTTCCTAGAGGCGAAAAATCCGCCGCTGTTGGACTGATGGTGTCTTCGATCTTGTTGTACTCGCATATTTACACACGGATAATTGAAACAACTTCCGTCCACCTGCCACTTGTCCTCCGGGACGTACAAGTCGTCCGACATCTCCGGCTTGGGAGCGGCCGTCCACCCGCCGCCCTGCCGGAAGTAGTCCTTGATCAGGGATCGGAACGGACGGTACTCGAAGAACCGCGAACGCCACGCCATGGGAGCCTCGATGATTTCGTTGCCGATCTTGGTGTGGCGGATGGACGGCGGCGACCAACAGGCAGCGGATAGGAAGGGAGAATGAAGCGGCGCGGATAAGCTTGCTTCAGGTTTGCCGCGGTGAGGAGGGATGGACCGAGGAGGAAGGAGCTGGTGAGGAAGGGGAACGGGCGGCGATCAACGTACCCGTTCCCCTAATGCTTTAAAGATTCCAAGCGGGTTTGTTTGTGACTTCCGGAGAGTAGTAACGGGGCTCGTGGGCATATATCTAGAAATTCTGGAACAACAGGTAGAATGAACTCCTCCACAAAAGAAAACACAATTGTCCAGGAGGCTAACCGCGTGGCGGAAGCTGGCTGTAACAAACACCAATTCGTGGTGGAAAAATATACATTTCGTGAGTATACACTGTTCGATGTCACGGTTGGCGAGGGAAAGGGACTGCTGAACCTTTCTCTCGACGACAAACGAAATCAATATTTTCCCCTGTAGGCCTTTGGCACGTTTAACACCAGAACAACGTGCCAATTTCTCTCGCGTGTGAGACAGGTTCCCTCGTCATCTGCGACAGATCAAATTGATGTTGAAAGGTCCGGGTCGGACGCCCGACGTTATTGCCGAATTGGGAAATGTTTTGTGCGAATACCATGATGTGTTTTATAAATCCCCGACGGACTCCGGTTCTTCTTCCCTGTTTCCGATCCTCCTGACAGTGAGCCAGCTACCTCTCGACCGTACAAAGCTAGTCCTCCAGTGACGAAGCACGTGTACCCTGTTCTCGACCAACATCTTGCTGCCGATTTTATTCAACACTCGACGTCCTTTGGTTGTAATACCCAAGAAAAAGGGCGGTGTTCGCATCATCGCGCGATTTTCAAAAGTTGGATAAGCTTTGTGCTCTTTATCACCTCACACTCCCCAGAGTTCTAATGGTACTCTGGGAAACTTGTCAAAGAGAAATATCTATGTATTGCTCTCGTTTTGATATGAAATGTTGGCTCCATCACATCACGGTTCACCGTGACACCATCGCGATCATGCCATTGGTTACCTGTATGTACATCCGATCCGTTGGGCTTCTTGAATGGTCAAAAATGCCTCAGGGCAGTTCCGCTGCTCCGGAATCGTTGTGCAACGAATTACCCCCAAACCTCCAAAGCGCCAACTAACTCTTAGACCACCTCATAGTGTTTGGTGAGACCCCGGCCGCTCATGTAGCAGCGACCATTCAATCTCTTTTCGAACAATCGCAGAGATAGCTTGGGGTACAACGGTAGCACGCACCAGGTAAAGGATTGGTCCCCAATAAACCCGTGTGAGTTCGTACTTCCCACCTTCTATCATTCATCAACATCATTGTTTCAACGTTTCAGAGCGACTGTTCCCAGCCTTACCACGAGGTCTAGGGCGGAAGTAGGGCCCGAAGTCCAGGGCCCTTGTACACCACTACCCACATCGGAATATGAACAGACTCGGCAGAATATATGACCCCCACTCACCGTGATGAGAACATCCCGTGGCATGGCCGCGTACAGCTGCGACACGGATTCAAAGTCTGGGGTGCTGACAGGTCTATCGAAGTCTCCCGGGCGTACCTCCGGCCTGCGCACGATAACGCCCTCCATCTCAAGAACTTGCGAAAAGTTGTCAAGCTCCTCCGCGGCTGGTTGTGGAGGGTGGTAAAAATAGGGTGCACGTAAAGTTGTCAAGCTCCTCCGCGGCTGGTTGTGGTGGGTGGTAAAAATAGGCTGCACGTACGTGCATCGACGAGATCGGCGTGTTGGAACGGAACAAGGAAATAAATGCTTGCGAGGAGTTTCGGAGAAAAAAGGGTGGGACCTGACGAGGTTAAACTCCGTGCCGCAGAGGGGCGAACAACCCATTATCATGACTTGCGTACATGAATGTTGGATCATCATCATGTCCCGCGTACTGTGGGGTGAAACTTCTATCTAGTTCGATAGTCTTTGAGTCATTCTGTTCACCTTTCATTACGAGCTCCCTGGGGAACGATTCCCCAGCGTGTTCCTTGTACATTCCCCAATGCTTGGCGGGCCAAACAGCCTTGCCCGATACGTGCCACTCAGGGATAGTCGCGTCGTCGACACGCCCGACGATCACTTCCTCCAGCGGGTCCCACTCCGTGTGAGAGTTGACGATACAGGTCGGGTCTATCTTAGACATGGGCGGCTTGTCATCCTCCCAGTCGTCGTGATCGACGGCTATCGATTTCCTTGCGGTATCGCTCGGTTGAAAAGCCGACGCAAAGCCTCGGCTGGCCGCCTTTGCTGCTGCTGCTGCTATTGCTCCCGATTTTTGCCTGGCGGGCAGCGACTTGCGGCAGTGGGACAGGGCACATCTCGAGAGAGACCGTGATATCGAGGCCGTAAGAAACATGGCTGAGAGAATTAGTGCAGGATGCAGGTCGGTGAGTTGGTGTGGAGAGCGTGAACGTTCGTTTGCACTGGGAACTTGGAACATGACGCGGACGCGGCGAGATTGGTTTGCACACCCGAACGGCAACAAGACGGCGACAGATGCGGTCAAACTGGTGACCATTGGAGAGACCCTTTAAATTTCTTGCGCGCGTTCTTCATTGCGTGCCTCTCGCCTGACCGACCACACTACTGCTATGTTGTCTGCCACACTGCCAGGTGAAAACGTTCTATACCTTATCCCCGTCCTTAACGTTGAATATGAACTGTATGAACTGTTGTTCATTTGGTTTGATCAATTCTATTCGCCAGAATCGCCGGAAATTGCTCGCCGGCGCCGCACTGGCCAGCAGCAGCGGTGTTCACTGGATTTCTCGGTACACGGCACAACCACAGGCCGCATTTAGGCGGTCCATCCTGCCCGCGGTGATCGTGCAATCGTGTGCTCCCCGTCCACTGGATTTCTCGGTACACGGCACAACCACAGGCCGCATTTAGGCGGTCCATCCTGCCCGCGGTGATCGTGCAATCGTGTGCTCCCCGTCCACTGGATTTCTCGGTACACGGCACAACCACAGGCCGCATTTAGGCGGTCCATCCTGCCCGCGGTGATCGTGCAATCGTGTGCTCCCCGTCCACTGGATTTCTCGGTACACGGCACAACCACAGGCCGCATTTAGGCGGTCCATCCTGCCCGCTGTGATCGTGCAATCGTGTGCTCCCCGTCTGCGTCAGCCGCTGCCCCGTACTCCGCTGGCGCTTTTTCATTCACTGCTCTCACTTTGCACTTCGTGACCGAACAGCGACAACCCGTTGTGCGCTCGGGTCCCCAATTTGTTTGAATTTCAGGTGGCTCTGTCCCAATCGGTGTGCATCGTCGACCATAACTAACTCTGCCGCTTGCGCGTACCTTTTCCGTGGAATGACGACGAACAGCTCAATAAATGAGGCGTCCTTGTACGGGTTCAAACGAAGCCGTTCGCGAGACATGTTCCACCCCCGCGCACCGCGCCGAAACGTGAAAAACTTAACCGAGCCTTTAGGAGCTAACACGCAGGACCTGCCAACCAAACACGAAAAACCCAGGAGGTCTTGTAGGGCGAATGTGAAAGCACAGACAGGACGATCGTGTCAGGTGCGTAGCGGGTGTTTAGGGTAGAAGAAACGTCATTGAGGTACGAGCTTGGCAGCACTACTAACACAGGGTCGGAGGTGTGGCGGGATAAGTTTCATCGACAGCACCCCGCCTTCCCTTCCTTCCCCTCCCAGCTATCCCGTAGCTTCTCCCAGTTACTGAGGAAGCAAGAGGCTCATATACATACATGCACATGCTATTGTTTCAACGAGGAGGCGGATAAACAAGCAAGGGACAACGCAAAAAATTACAAACCTACGCTAGCGAGAGACCGAATGCAATGCAATAAGTAGTCGACCACCATGTCAAGGCGAGCAGAACGCACGGAACAAGCGATAGGGAGTGCCCCTCTGCTTTTTCTCCCCTCTCGCAACAAAATACTACAACGAATTTCAAGGAACCGCAGGCAGATGAAAACGGTGAGAGAAGCAATGCCTCTTTTCTGATCCCAAGAATTGAATCTTGCGCACACCAACCAAAAAAATACCCGCCGCACACGCTCCCAGAAAAATTACCACAATCTGGTAAAAAAAATCTCAACGACACATCCATACCTCCGCGGTCTCAAGTGGGTGCGTCCTCTAGCCACTTTCTTGACCTAGCAAAGTTTTGGTTACTCCTGCTCTGGTGCCGATCCACTTTTTCTCACGCCAGCATCTTCTTACGCCAAGACGCTCTCAAGAGATGAAAAACTTTTCTCGCCGGCCGAAGGCCTGCCTGTTCTACCAAAACCCTCCGTGTGCATTTTTTTATATTAGTCCCGTCGGGTCTGCAATGTACGTATTAAACAGCAGATACAGACAGCGAATACATCGATCGACCACACGGTGAATGGAAATTGTTACGACCCTCGGAGTGGGCGTTGTTCGCTCATTCGCGCTCGTGTGCCAACGTGCCCCCTTCCCCCCTCAAAAAACATCTGGCAATGTGCTGTGCAAAAATGCGCTGCAGCAAGAGAGAGGTTGGAAAGACGTGGCTTCCGGGGGGCTGTCGCCCCCTGTAGGTCCGCAACTAACTCCCATGCAAGAACGGACGATACGCGACACACCTCACTCTCCTTCGTGACACGTGCCTGTTCTGTCGACGCAAACCGCACTGCCAGAACTCCCGTCTTGACTACAAAGGCGCGCACTTCCAGCAGCGCCTCTTCTCGCTATGACAATGCAAAACCTTGCGACTGTCGTGGGCCCGAGCCTCGCAACACAGCACATCCATCCCCACAAGGTCCCCACACTTCTGTACACATAGCAACAAACGGTTGGCCGAGGTCCCAACAGCTCGCGAATACCCACCTAGCTCGACAAGACAAGATAGGCAGCCAGGATACGCATAATACGCATGCAAAGCGTGCAACAGCAGTGGTACCTCTCGAGGCCAACCCCAACCAAGAAGATTAGACCGTTTCAGCCTCGAGCACACGACAGGACGAACACGCTACCTTTTCCAAGGGACAAAGCAGAAAAGAAACACTACTGCACACACCACGCACGTACTTTCGCACGCAAGCAGGCGTGCTACTCTTCTGGGACCGGCATCAGACCTTAACAACAAACGAACTAACACCAGGTACGGTAAATCGTTTTATAACGAATAGTACAGATACATCACAAATATGCGAATCCCGACGAAGTAAAATGTGTAAAAAAACAAAACAAACAACATGTGATGTACATGGCGAAAACATACCCGGCAAAACTTAACTCAACGCGCCAGCACACAGAAAAAAAAAGGGTTTTCATTTACGCACTACTTGTGCACCAATCAAAATCAGGAGCGATGAAGAACGGTCCGACTTCGGTCTCCTCCGCCGCCTCTCGGATCAGTCCTGACCCCCTCCGCTATGCCCAGGGTCAAAGAGGCCCCTTGAGCCACGAGACGATAGGCCGGGGCGGCGCCGCCGCGGCCGGAGGTAACTCGCCTGCCGGGTTCGCGGTTACGGGTGGGTTGAGTGAAAAAAAAACGTCGGGAGGGTGGCGGGGGGCGGGGGTTGATGGGTCAAGGTCGAAGGGCCGTGAGGCTCCGAACAACAAAACAGAGGGAGGGGATAGGGGTAAGGGGATGGTCTACTCATATAGGTAAACGCATGCCGTAGTCGGTAGACCATACACCTCGGATTGGGGTGAGGGGGGCATTGCATCCTCCAAAAAGTAGCCAAGCACGCACCTGGCCGACACAAAAAAAAGCGAAACCAGGGGTGATACCTCAACCCATATAACGTACGGATGTAGTCTATGCCTATTACCCACGTTGTGCATACCTCGGCAGCAAATATCGCCTGTCGGTGACTGGGTCGTCGTCAGAGAAAGCGTCGGGCTTCCCCCAGTGGTAAAGGTTACCCTCCGAGGACACCACGGCGCTCGAAAAGCTCCCGCACGCGACCTGTTTTGTCATGTACGGGATGACAGCGAAATTTGAAGAAGAAAGGGCGGCGGGGGTTGGGGACAAGCAAGGGGAACTGGCGTGGAATTTCATACTGTTCTTGAGTGGGTTCGATGCCACCACCTCGACGACCGTAAAGTGTGATTCTGAGGAGGCACCCACAGCTACGTTGGAGTGTCAGTGAATGAAGAGCCCGGATATCCCACCCAGGGTTCTGCAGACGGCTGTGGATGGAGAGCACAAAAAGATGACAAAAACTACCGTATGACTCGGCCAAACTCCCTCCTGCACTCCGCACGGGAGAAGGCAGGCGCTCGCTACTTCTGCCTCCCACCAAAACCCTGGCCCGACCGACTCCACCCTTCCTTCTTCACCTCCGTCACGTACACGTCCCCCGGCGAGCCCCCTCCCCCGCCGGCGTTCCTCTCGATTCGCACCACCCGGGGGCTCAGCGCGCGGCTCTCCTTCTCCCCGCCGCGGTCCTCGAGGCCGAGCTGGCCCGTGAAACCGTCGCCGAAGGCGTAGACCTTCCCCGCCTTGGTGAGGACGAGCGTGTGCCATGCCCCGCACGCGACGCTGGTCGCGAGGACATCGGCGTCGGGGCCATCCTGGCATGTTTCCGCCGCCCAAGTCACGTCGAGTCGAGTCAGTCACATCAGTTCGGAGTGCGTTTTTTTAACAACAGAACAGATACTGCTCTCTTCGTCCACAGGATATACATGTTCGTGTTTGAGAGGAAACAACTGATTCCGCCGCCAGTCAAGATCAATCTGCGGTGTAGTTTGTTGTGGTGGTCGTGGTTTCCCTCGCAAAAACACTCAAGAACAAATACATATATAGTACTTGTTCTCATTCTACGGAAAATACAACAGTCCAGGACAAACTATCAATCAAGTAATGGCGCGTGTGTGTTATTTAGTGTATTCCGGACAGTCCGGCGCGGGGTTGTTGTTGTTGTTGTTGTTGTTGTTGTTGTTGTTGTTTATGTTCATGTTTATGTTTATGTTGTTGTCGATTGTCAAATAACACGCAACACGACTAACCCCGCTCTCGCGGTCGCCACGAACAGCCCTCTCTCTCCTTTTCACCTGCTCGTCGGTGCCCTGCGTTGCACTCCTATCCACATCCCGCCCGAAGCCCGATACCATCCTGGGTGTCGGTTCATCTTCCGCCACGCCGTGGCCGAGAGCACCCGTGCTCCCGTGCCCCCAGGTAAACACCTTGAAAAAAAAGAAAAAGGGCGCGACGCCACAAAGAAGTCAACACGTGAGGTACCGTGCAAGTGCCAACGCGGTAGGCAACATAACCTCACTGCGCGTGCATGCGAATCCGCCAAAAGCCAACCCGAGTCAGTCACCTAACCGAAAACATTCGAAACCCGATACCGATACTCCCACACCACACCAACAAAATAACCCTTCCCTCAATAAATGAAGATACACGGATCAGCCAACCAACCAACAAGACAAAACACACAAAAAAACAAAACAAAGCAGACCGACCGACCAAAAGCCAACCCACCTTGCCCGACGCGCACACGCAAGACGAGTGCATCTGGCCCCCCGCCGCGGCCACGACCCTCTCCTCCGACAGGCAGGGCGCCCTGACGATGCGGGGCGCGGACACGCCGCCGGCGCCGACGACGGCCTTGAAGCCTAGGCGGCCGCCGTCCGAGGGGCCGAAGGCGTACAGCCGGCCCGCGTCCGACACCGCGAGGGAGTGCTCTCTCCCGCACGAGACCCTGGTGATTCTTACCCCCAGGTTGTCGAACTGTCGTGAGTGGTGGGGTTATGTTTGTGTGACAAAAAAAAAAATACAAATCGTGTGTCAGTGTTGTTATTCCCAGATACGTTCCTCACAACACATCAAGTTTCTTCGTGACCGTTTATTGTTCACATGTGGGTGGGATGAGACAGCGTCCTTACCTCCCGCGGCTAGCAAAAGCAAAAACTCCTCCAATTCTGTCTGTTCATCATCTCCCATCAGCGCACACAGAATTTTTGTCGTTGAGGAGCTCCAATCCGTCATCACAGCAGTGAGTTGAGTGAGTGAATGAGTGAGTGTGTGTGTCATTTCGAGGTTTTCGGAGGTGGTGGTGGCAGGGGGGCGGCTTTTCTTGTTTGGTCTCGGGTTTGCCAGATGGGCAGGGAGGTTCGGCGGGGATTGGGTCGAAAGAAAGTCGCGTGATGCCGCCGTGCATGGGGAACCTATCTCTGCTTGAAGCCAAAGTACTGCCAAGTGTGCTGTTGCGGGCTATATTTTGGTGTGCATCTCGTGTGTTCTCACCTCTTCCACGCGACGAGGGGACAGCACCGCGTCCACCTCTCCGAGTCCAAGCCGTCCTCCCTCACCCCAGCCCCAGGAGTAGACGCTGCCCGACGCCAGCGCGACGAGGGTGTGCTCTCTCCCGCACCCCGCCCACACCACCGCCTGCTTGGTGTCTGCTAACGCACGAACCACCTGGGGGACACAGCGGCGGCGGTGGAAGCACAGCAAGGGATATATTTGAGAGTTGACGGGAGAAAAAATAAAACCTGTCTTACGCCCGGGAAAGGAGTGCAAACAACTTAGATACAGATACACAGCTTCATCCCTCGCAAAAACACGCGTCTACGCATATATTAGTACCGAACAAGGCCCACTTTCTTGCGCCCCTGCCCTCTCTCCCGCCGTCCTTCCTCCCAATCCAGCCTCCCTCCCTCCTCCACTCGCCACCATCTCCACCCCCCGTACCTACGTTCTTGCGTCTCTCAAAACCGCCTCGACCACTGCCGTCTACAGCAAATCCCTCTCTCCCTTCGCTTCCCCTATGTCCTATCTCACCGTTGTATAGCGAATCTCTCCCTGCTTCGCTTCCCTCATCTCCTATCTCACCTTTGTATAGCGACTCTCTCCTTCCCCTTCCCTTCCCCCATCTCCCACAAGCAACGCCCCTGCCTCACCTTGGGCTCGAGAGCATCCTCCTCGTCCCCGTGGCCTAACCGGCCAGTCTCACCGTGCCCAAGGGTAAGCACTAAACCGCTCGCGGTTACCAGAGCCGAGTGCCGGAACCCGCAGGCCACCTGAGGACATAGCATACATGACACACATCGCCACAGCCGGCGGGGAGGCACCAACAATGACGGCGCGGAGTGTTGTCGCGTGGTGTGGTGTCGTACGGTGTGTGTCTTTGTTAGGAGGATCGACAGCGTGGTTTCCCGGCTGACCAATGAAAATACGCCAGTCTGCCTCAGTGCGGCTCAACAAAGGAAAATGTCTCTCTCGTGTGTGTGTGTGTGCGTGTGCGCGCCGCGCAAACAACGTCGGTATCCGGCCCACAGGAAGGAAGTATTCAATAGGATCGTTCAGCATATACTTTTGACGCAACATCCGCAAAGTAAGACATGTCATTCCCGTGTGTCTGACGGTGTTTATCAGCCCCCCCCCTGGGCGGAGTTTTCAGAGCTCCACCTCTCCACAATACATAGTTCTGGAAAAGTTTCTACCCACAACACGAAGTATGGAGTAGCCAAAAGGCTTTGGATGGAGATACATAGACGGCACAAACCCAGCAGACGCTCTTTTTACCTGGACCACTTGCCACTCCGTTGGTATTCTTAAGGGCAAGAGCTTGAGGGCGCCGTCTGCGTCCGTCTCTTGGTCTTGTGTACGCTTCTTCGCTTCGTCTTCGGGCGAAAGGCCCGTAACCTGGCCGAAAGGGTTCCGTNTATCTGGTTTGTACGACCCGAACCGCAAGGGCGGTCATCGCTCGACTTGTCTCTCAACCCAGTCCTCCGCTCCCCTAAACCCACACCACGTTGCCGAGACCTTTGCTGCTCTCTCCTCCTGCCTCGTGCACCTAATTCATGTTGTTTTCGCCCGCCACAACTACCCTCCCTCCAGGTCCCCCCCTCTCTACAGCCCTACAGTAGCCCCTCTGTTTTGCTGCTTCTCACTTGTCCATCCACGTACAGCCTGCCCGGAACGGATCGAACGTGTGACAGGAAGGCATCGACGCCACCTGAGACCTGCTTCGGCACCGCGCTGACCGGGGTAGGCGGCGGATCTCCTGACGGTTCGCGGCATAGACAGACACACGCGTGCGCAAGAGGAGGAGGGTGCGTGCGTGTGAGTGTTGGTGCTTAAGGGGTTGAGAGACAGAGAGAGACAGAGAGAGACAGAGAGAGACAGAGAGAGACAGAGACAAAGAGAAAGGACGGGGGCAGAGGGAGAGGGAGAGGGAGAGGGAGAGAAAACAGGTAGAGGGAGCACGAGACGGACAACAGCCTCCCAAGACCCCAACCACTCAACTCCATCCCCAACGCTCCGTGTACAAGAAAAATACAGTACATCGTTCACAGCAGCAGCAGCAACAGCAGCAGCAGCAGCAGCAGCAAACAGCACAAAAAACAACCCAAACAAACAAACTCACCCGCGAAGGGCGGCGGCGCTGCCCCCCCGTCGCCGAGGGCCCCGAGGAGCCACGAGAAGCTGTCCGGAGGGGCCAGCAGCTCCGCGGCCCCGCCCAAGCACGAAGACGACACCTTGAACGACCTCTCTACAAACCCACCCTCGCCCTTGAGGAGAACCGACACCAGCCGTGCCATCGCATCCGGTGGGTCCAGGTGGGTCTCTGCTCCCCCCGCCCCCCCTCCGCCCCCGTCGAACCGGGGGCTGGCAGTATGTTTTCGCCTCAACAAGGTGTTCAGCTGGAGAGAGAATTGTCACGCGTCCGCATAGGGTTGGGGGGGTTGGTGAGGTGGATTAGAGCAAGGAGGGAGGGGGGGGGGGGGGGGGGGGGG